CTGAACCCACCCTTCGCGTCCGCAAAGCCCAGACTGGGGGCAAGTCGGGGGCGCGTCCGGGGGTGGCCAAAGAGGGTAAGAGCACCAGGTAGGGGTGGTCCTCGGCGTGACGGGGGGCCTCAGGGACCCCTGCACCTCAGGTGAGAATGGCGGGCCTCCGTAGGGTTTGGCTGATGTCCAGTCTGCCCAGCGTGAGGAATGGCTCTGTAAGGCACCAGAGAGCCCAGATGTCTGGCAGGACACTGTGCCAGGCAGAGGTCAGTGCTGGCTTGTAGCCCTTCGGGTTTGGAGACACATCCAACAGGTCCGCTGCCCAGTGCCTTAGGTCCTCCCAGTCCGTCATCCACAGCCCCCAAGCCCCCAGAGGGACTAGGCTCGAGCTAATAGGGGACTCTGCTGCCCCCTCCCCAGGTCTGGGCTATGAACTGCCCTGTTGTCCTAATGGGGCCGCTCAGTCTGACTGTGGCACACACTGGCCGTGCCCACACCACTGCTGGAGTCCCAGCCTCCCGCCATTCCTGGAAAGGACCGCTAGCCCCCTGTTGCCTGGCCTCCTGTTCCAGGAGCACAGAGGCAGGGGAGGGGGTTGCAGAAGACCCTCCTCTCCCCAAGGCCTCCAGGAGCAGTGGGCAGTAGTCCCGAGTTATTGTGAGAATTAAACAAGGTGATACATCACCAAAGTATCTAGCCCAGTGCCTCTTATATAATCAGTGGTGAATAAATCTTAGCTGTTTATTGTGACTTTCTGGAGGGTGGCAGGGGTCTTGCTGATCTCTCTCCCAGGAGACTCCAGAGCACCGCCCACCATTCCTGAGGTCAGCAGCCCCTCCCCTTCGTCCTACTCTAGATCTTTCTTGGCTCCTCCCCGACCCCTGGGGGATGGGTCCTAGGACCCACCTCGGCCTCCCCCTATTCTGGGGTTGCTGTCCCGGCCTCTTACATGCTGCTAGGGCAGCTCTGTGACTCCTGGCTGTCCGCATTCTGTAAATTTTACTGTGTTTCTGTCTTATGGCCCCAACCCCCCATTACATTCTCAACAGCACTCGCTCAGGGTTCTGGAGGATTCCTACAGGCAGCCCCCAGCCCCTGCCCCTGCTTCCTCCCCCAGTCTCTGAGGTCAGTGAGCAGCTGCAGGTCCTGCCCATCCCTCTGTCCTCTGTGTGGCCCCAGGACTTCCTATTGATTATGGTTTCCAATCCACCCTAGACTTCTTACTCCTGGATAGGAGATCGCCCACGAGTGTCCCTTTTTGTTGAAGCTTTTCTTGCTTCAGGGAGGCTCTGGGCCCTTTACTTTGTGTGGCAGTTGGCAGGGATGGGACGGCCTCCCCCTTTAGACCGGATGCTCCCCAGCCCTGGACAGCTTAGTCCCCTGTCTGCTTTTCCATGCCCAGCACAGAGGAGTGGCCGGCCGGCTGTGCGGGAAAGGAATGGATTGTGAGGTGCCCCTCTTAAGGTTTCGGCAGGTAGGAGGTTGAGGGTCTACTGCCAGGAAGCTGAGCCACCCAGGCCACGGTGTGGTGGTGATGGCATAGTCTTGCAGACAGAAAGTCTGGGTTCCAGTCCCAGCTCTGCCACGATCCCAAGTGACTTAACCTCTCAGTTCCCCGATCTGGGAGATGCAGGACTAACAGCAGCGCCTTTGCCCAGGCTGTGGGTGCCTTGCAGGGGGGAGGCTCAGGGGGCATTGTGCGGGCTCTGCATCGATTTGACCTGAGTCTGTGTCCTGGACAGCACCTCCAGGAAAGGCCAAAGACAAAGCGAAGAAAGGGAAGAAGGACAAAGGCCCCAAGGCGACCAAGCAGCCCCCAGAGGGGTCCCCCAGGCCACCCAAGGAAAAGCCGCCCAAGGAAAAGCCACCCAAGGAAAAGCCACCCAAGGCCACCAAGAAGCCCAAGGAAAAGCCACCCAAGGAAAAGCCACCCAAGGAAAAGCCGCCCAAGGCCACCAAGAAGCCCAAAGAGAAGCCACCCAAGGCCACCAAGAAGCCCAAAGAGAAGCTGCCCAAGGCCACCAAGAAGCCCCCGGCTGGGAAGAGGCCCCCCGCCCCAGCCCCCTCAGAAAGCCCCGTGTGGCCGCTGCCCCCGCTCCCCAGCCCCCGCCTCGAGGAGCTGCCCCGGGAGGGAGGTGTGTGCCGGGCTCCGGCTGCGGGGCTTGACCCGCTGGGTGGCCAGACCCTCGGGGCCCCCAGGCTGGATGGGCGCTGGGGCCTAGTTGTTGTCGTGAACCCAGCAACTCAGCTGCCGCTCCCTCAGTGCTGCTGCCTCCCCTGGGTGGGAGGGAGTGCTTGGCAGCCTCATGAGTAGGGCTTGCCCTCCACTGTCCTAGGGTCTGTCCCCTGCGCCCCATCACCATCTGCCCGTGTGTCACTGGGCTCTGAGCCCACAAGGTGCCCTCCTGCTGGGGGCAGTTTGCAACAGATCCTCTCGAACACCAGGCCTGGGCTCCCCCAAAAGTCATCCAGCTCTTTGGCCCTGGAATTGCCAGCAGGGTGCTGAGGGCCGGAGCAGCCCAGGCCTCCTGGGAGTGAGCTGTTCAAGGGGCATCAGCAGGACCCAGGTCTTGTGGAGGCTCGCGATGTAGCCAGGGGTCAGGGCAGGCCTCCCATCCTCCTACTTCTGGGGTTTGTGTTGCAGACGGGTCCTTCCCAAATCCGTGGCAGGGTCCAGGAGGGGAGACTAGCGTGGAGCACCAGCCTGGTGAGTGGATACCAGCCACTTGGGTTCAGGGGACCATCCGCCCTGGCTTGCTGGGTTTCCAGGGTGGGCCTGGGTGGGGGCCACTGGTGAGTACCTTCAGTGAGTAATCTCCCCCCAGAGCTGGAAGAGGAAGCCGAGCAGCCCACACTGGACTACAACGACCAGATAGAGCGGGAGGACTATGAGGACTGTGAGTAGGGCTCTGCTGCCTGGGAGGCTCCTCCCGGCTCCACCTCCCCTGTCTGGATCCCGACCCCTGGTCCAGGGGTTTCATGAGGGTCCACCCAGAAGCCCCACCCTCCCCAGGGTGGCCCGGCTCAGGGTCCACCCTCTCCCCTAGTTGAGTACATCCGGCGCCAGAAGCAACACAGGCGGCCCCCCAGCAGGAGGAGGCCGGAGAGGCTCTGGCCCAAGCGCCCCGAGGAGAAGGCCGAGCCACCCAGCCGGGGGTTCGAGACCCCAGAGGAGAAAATCGGTAGGATGGAGGCAGACTGGGGGTGAGGGGCGCCAGGCGAGGGGGCTCTGACTCACGCCTGCCTCCCGCCTCTACAGAGCCGCCTCTGAAGCCGCTGCCGCCCCCGCTGCCCCCCGACTATGGGGACGGCTACGTGATCCCCGACTACGGCGACAGTGAGTGCCCACCGCACCCCAGGGTCCCGGCCGCCTGCGCGTCCAGCTTGGTGGCAGCCACCTCGCCGCCCTCGTCTCTTCTCCCCACTCAGGCTGCAGTCTTCCTCCTGTCACCCTCTCTTTCAGTCCGAGCCCCACTGGGCTTCAGTCTCTGTCCCTCCTGAGCTCCAGTCCTGCCCACCCCTCACCTCCACCTCTCAGGACTAGCTCCTGTTCAGAGCTGCTGCCTTCCACTCCCAGTCCCTTCGGATCCGATCCATGCCCCTCTTCCCGGGCTGTGGGGCCTCGGCAGGTCCTTGCCCTTTCCCTGGCCCCAGGTCCCCATCAACCCCTCTGACCTTTGGCCCCAGCTCCGCCCTCAAGACGCCCCCTTCTCTGTCACAGGTGCCAGTTGTCACTTGAGGTGTGTCCAGTGCCCATGTCCCACTCCCTGCCCAGCCTTTTCTCACCTTTCCCTGGACAGAGCCCTCCTGGGGGCCAGGCTGGTCACTTCCTCGGGGGTCTTACTCACCCCACCTGTGCCCAGGCAGCCTCCCTCTCTAGGAGGACCCTCCCTCCTTGTCTCCTCTTCAAAGCCCACCCTGATCTCACCTTCTTGCCTTGCAAACCCCAGGCTCCCCAGTCCTGCCCCCTGGGCTTCTGTGAACCTAGCGCTCTAGCTTTTGGTTTGGGGCCCTGGGACCAGCACTGGGGCATCTCATCAGGGCTCTCTCTCCGCAGTGGACTATTACTTCCGGCCTCCCCGGCCCCAGAAGCCTGACACTGAGGTGGAAACAGATGAAGAGAAGGAGGAGCTGAGTGAGTGGAAACAGACTTCCCACCACCGGCCCAGCCCCTGGTGCAGGCCTGACCCCCACCCCATCTGCCCCCTGAAGCCCGGGGCTAGGCTGACAGGTCCCTCCCACCTTCCACCCTTCAGAGAAACCCAAAAAAGAGGGCAGCAGCCCCAAGGAGGAAGAAACGGATGACAAATGGACTGTAGAGAAGAGCAAGGACCACAAAGGTGTGTCTCTGGGGGCCGGGGCCGGGGGCTGGGGGCTGTGAGCACACAGCCTGGATCCCTGTGGGAAAGCAGCCAGATTCCCAGATGCTCTGGGACTCTCAGCACCATCTCCTCCCTTTGTTGCCCGCAGGGCCCCGGAAGGGTGAGGAGGTGGAGGAGTGGGCTCCAGCAGAGAAAGTCAGTGAGTGAGGGGCCAGGGATGTGGGGGCTGGGGATGCGGGGGCTGGGAGGTGGGTCTGATGGCTGGAGATGTATGTGGAAGCTGGGGTGTGGTGTGAGGGCTGGGGGTATGTGGGGGTTCTAGGGGGTGTGGGGCTGGGGGTGTGGTGTGGGGGTGCTGTAAGCTGGATATGAGGGCTGTGGGGCCATGCGAGAGGAGCAGGGTAAGGGTGACAGGCAAGTGACCCAGCCAAGGCCACACCTGGGTCCAGAACCTGGATTTCTTGATGGCGCTCCAGGCCTCCAGAACTCTTTCCTGCTCTTAAAGCCTTGTGGCCCAAAAGGGAGAGGCCCTGGAGTGTCTGCCCTGGGCCTGACCCCAGGGAACAGAGCTCGGGGCACACGCAGGTATGCAGATGGCCCCAAAGCTGATGATGCCTGTGACTGGCTGGGGCTGGGTGGCTGCCCCTGTGATGTCCTGTGAACCCCATGGCCTCCTGGAGGCTGCCATCATCAGCCCATTCTCCAGAGGGGGAAGCTGAGGCCCAAGGAGGGGAAGCACAGGCTGGGGCAGAGCTGCCCTGACTGGCACCTGCTGATGTGAGGGAAGTGGGCTCTGGGCTTCTCGGTTCTGGGTTTGGGGGAAGGGAGGCACTGAGGGAGGGATGGAGCCCGTGGGCCACCAGCCTGGGATGCCATGTCCCCAGAGTGTCCCCCCATTGGGATGGAGTCGCACCGCATCGAGGACAACCAGATCCGGTCCTCCTCCATACTGCGCCATGGCCTGGGCGCACAGCGGGGCCGGCTTAACATGCAGGTAGGTGTCGGGAGGGACCCATCTCCCAGCCGAGGAGGGGGCGCCTTGCCTGCTCAGCTTCCCTGCCGTCCCTCACAGGCTGGTACCAATGAGGACGACTACTTTGACGGGGCATGGTGTGCTGAGGATGACTCTCAGACCCAGTGGATCGAGGTGGACACCAGAAGGACCACCAAATTCACCGGCGTCATCACCCAGGGCCGTGACTCCAGCATCCAGTACGTTGGCCATGCTCACAGGCACTTGGTGGGGGCGAGTGGCTCCAGGCATGGCTGAGTCTCCTTCAGGACCTTCCAGTGGACCCTCCAGGGCCCCCACCCCCACTCCAAGGTCATGGCCAGTCAGCTTCCTGGGTCCAGATAAGCAAACCAATCACCCACAGCCACAGAGTGGGTGTGGCAGCATCTCCTGACACTTGGGCCGAGCACCACACACCGGCTAGCTCTTAAGTTCTTGGGCCCAGAGGAGGGGCTCAGGCTACCTGAGGGCCTGGATCTGGGGCTGGGAGACCAATCTTGCCCTGACCACCATCCACTCCACAGTGACGACTTTGTGACCTCCTTCTTCGTGGGCTTCAGCAACGACAGCCAGACGTGGACGATGTACACCAATGGCTACGAGGAAATGGTGGGCGCCCGGGCTCGGCTCTGCCCTCCTCGTCTGGGCCACAGGTGGGCTTTTGGCCAGGGTTGGGGGCTGCTCTGAGGCCTGCCTCTTCCCAGACCTTCCACGGGAACGTGGACAAGGACACGCCCGTGCTGAGTGAGCTCCCGGAGCCGGTGGTGGCCCGTTTCATTCGCATCTACCCACTCACCTGGAATGGCAGCCTGTGCATGCGCCTGGAGGTGCTGGGGTGCCCCGTGTCCCGTGAGTGCCGGGGGCTGGCAAGGGCGCGGATGGGCAGCTGGGGCCACCCCGGCTGGGCTGGCAGGTGACCAGCTTGAGGCCCTTCCTGCATACCTTCTGCAGCTGTCCACAGCTACTACACACAGAACGAGGTGGTGACCACCGACGACCTGGACTTCCGGCACCACAGCTACAAGGACATGCGCCAGGTAGGGTGCTTGTCCCCAGGTGGGGTGTTTGTCCCCAGGTAGGGTGCTGGTCCTGAGGCCAGGGGTGTCCTATCCAGCATATGGGCTCAGGGCCAACAGGGCAGCTTCCCCATAGAAGACTGGGGCAGTGGGAGAGGCGTGGTCACCCGGGGTGGGGGGGGCTGTGTAACTCTGTGTCTCCTGCGGTGCACAGCTGATGAAGGTGGTGAACGAGCAGTGCCCCACTATCACCCGCACATACAGCCTGGGAAAGAGCTCGCGTGGACTCAAGATCTACGCCATGGAGATCTCAGACAACCCCGGGGATCACGAGCTGGGTGAGCGTCCCCACAGCCCCCTGGAGGCCTGGCCCTCCCCCTGCCCAGCAGATGAGGCAAGGCCCTGGCACTGCAGCTGGGCCTGCGCTGTTGATGTTCCCAGCTCGCCAATTCCCGCCCGGCCTTCCAGCTCTTCAGGGGGTCCCAGTCTGCCTTATGGGGGCTCTACAAGCCTCAGCCCCACACCCCCTAACGCCCTGGGAGTAAGGCCAGTTTAAGCCCCTCCTCAGAGCCCCTGAGCCTCAGGCCTCGGGAGGCTGGTTGATTGCTGAGGCTGCTGCCCTTGCAGGGGAGCCCGAGTTCCGCTACACGGCTGGGATCCACGGCAACGAGGTGCTGGGCCGAGAGCTGCTGCTGCTGCTCATGCAGTACCTGTGCCGGGAGTACCGCGACGGGAACCCCCGCGTGCGCAGCCTGGTGCACGACACACGCATCCACCTGGTGCCCTCGCTGAACCCTGATGGCTACGAAGTGGCAGCGCAGATGGTGGGTGGAGGGAAGGGGGTTGGGGCGAGGCCGGGGTGGGAGGGGCAGGCCTGTGGGCTGGCCGCTGACGCTGACCCCGCTGGCTCCCCCAGGGCTCAGAATTTGGGAACTGGGCGCTGGGACTGTGGACCGAGGAGGGCTTTGACATCTTTGAGGACTTCCCGGATCTCAACTCAGTGCTCTGGGGAGCCGAGGAGAGGAAATGGGTCCCCTTCCGGGTCCCCAACAATAACCTGCCCATCCCTGAACGTTACCTCTCTCCGGAGGCCACGGTGAGGACGCGGCCTGGCCAGCAGAGCCTGGGGTGACGAGCAGCCCAGACCCTGTGGTCCACTGGACTTGGGGGTGGGCTGGGGGTGACAGAGCCCAGGTGCTGAGACTGCAGGGGCTCAGAGGGGAAGAGGGGGCACAAATACCCGTATGGGGTCTGCATGGAGGGCAGTGGAGGCTGCAGTCCAGACCTCACACACTGGCCACCCCAGGTGTCCACAGAGGTCCGGGCCATCATCACCTGGATGGAGAAGAACCCCTTTGTGCTGGGGGCAAACCTCAATGGCGGCGAGCGGCTCGTGTCCTACCCCTACGACATGGCCCGCACGCCCAGCCAGGAGCAGCTGCTGGCCGCGGCCATGGCGGCCGCCCGCGGAGAGGACGAGGAAGAGGTATCAGAGGCCCAGGAGACTCCAGACCATGCCATCTTCCGCTGGCTGGCCATCTCCTTCGCCTCCGCTCATCTCACCATGACCGAGCCCTACCGGGGAGGGTGCCAAGCACAGGACTACACTGGCGGCATGGGCATTGTCAACGGGGCCAAGTGGAAACCTCGATCTGGGAGTGAGTCGGCCTGGGGGGTGGGTGTCTGCAGTGGGGTGTTTGGCGAGGGGCGGGGGTAACTGCAGCTCTGTGTCTGCCCCTGCCCAGCCATCAATGACTTCAGTTACCTGCACACCAACTGCCTGGAGCTCTCCATCTACCTGGGCTGCGACAAGTTCCCTCACGAGAGCGAGCTGCCCCGAGAGTGGGAGAACAACAAGGAAGCCCTGCTCACCTTCATGGAGCAGGTGTGGGGGCCGCAGGGGGGCCAGGCAGAGCGGTGGGGCAGCGCCGGGGGAGAGGTTGAAGGGTTGGGGGACCAGACAGGGAAGCAGCAAGCCGTGTGGGGTCTCCATGAGGACATCAGCCCTGCCTCTATCCTGCAGGTTCACCGCGGCATCAAGGGGGTTGTGACGGACGAGCAGGGCATCCCTATCGCCAATGCCACCATCTCCGTGAGTGGCATAAACCACGGTGTGAAGACAGGTACACAAGTGCATGTCTCCACCCCGCTTCCCAAGGTGGGGGACCAAATTTGTGCATGGTCTTGGCAAGGGAAGCCAGGCCTACCCAGCATGTCCCTGCTCCTCTGGACCCCCACCAGAGAGGGTCTACCCCTGACAGAGGGAGGGCTGGGGGACTGGGGCTGGGGAGGGGGGACTCCTATGCAGCCAGACCCACCCTCCCTCTGCAGCAAGTGGTGGCGATTACTGGCGCATCCTGAATCCGGGTGAGTACCGTGTGACAGCCCACGCGGAGGGCTACACCCCAAGCTCTAAGACCTGCAATGTGGATTACGACATCGGGGCCACCCAGTGCAACTTCATCTTGGCTCGCTCCAACTGGAAGCGCATCCGGGAGATCATGGCCATGAACGGGAACCGGCCCATCCCACACATTGACCCATCGCGCCCCATGACCCCCCAGCAGCGGCGTATGCAGCGCCGCCGCCTGATGTACCGGCTGCGCATGCGTGAACAGATGCGGCTCCGCCGCCTCAATGCCACTGCAGGCCCGGCCACCACCCCCACGGCGCCCCCTACCTCCCCCACGCTGCTCCCCACCACCTCCCTTGCCCCCTCCCCCGCCCCAAGTTCCACCCTGGGGCCCTGGCACTTTCCATCCGAGACCACAGTTGACTGGGAGCAGTCAGAGACTGAGACTTACACGGAGGTGGTGACGGAATTTGGGACGGAATTTGGGACAGAGCTGGGGCCCGAGGAGGAGGGGGAGGATGAGGGGGACACGGTCACAGGCCCAGAGTTCCCCTTTACCACGGCCGAGACCTACACAGTGAACTTCGGGGACTTCTGAGAACAGGTCTGCCAACATGCGAGCTTGCACTAGTAGTCACGTCGTCGCCTCGGCCAGCTCAGCCGCCATCAGCACATGGAGGGCCCCCTGGTGTGGCCCAGCCAGGGTGGGCGTGAATGTGACCAAGAGAGAAGAGCCAGGGTCTGCGGCAGGCGCCTGCTCCGCCTGCAGGCCGCATGGGCCACTGCAGGGCTGGGATGGGGCAGGCTGAGCGAGCCTGGGAGCCGACTTCTCTACCACCTGCCCAGGCCACACCAATAAACCAAGCTCATGGCAGATGTGTCCTGACCGCTTGCCATTCTGACCAGCGGGGAGAGGGGAAGAGGGAGGAGGAGGAGGGGAGGAGGGAGGCTCCCATTCCCCACAGGCTTCGTCCACAGGAGTGCCCAGCCCGGCACCAGCTCTGCACAGCTCAACACCAGCAGACAGCCAGGCTT